CAGCCCCCCTTCTTTCTTGGTTATACAATCATGATTTTATCCAGATAGAGATATCAATATCCTTAGGAGAGACTCCCCAGGAAATGAACCATAATTAGTGTAAACCAACCATGTTATTGAAAATTTCTCCTTTATCACAGAAAATTTTAGTATATGCATTTCACGAAGTTCTGGTCAATGTGATCTGAAAAGATATCTGTACRTACTCGCACATAATGGCAGAGGGACATATACAAGAGGAACCTCTTAACGTCAATCCTGCATTGGTGTTGATGTGGTGATGTGATGCTTGGAGCACTAGTTGCCATCTTAGCACTACAAGAAGGTCAAGAAAATGATGAAGACACTGATCCCATGTCCCTACRTTGTTGAGCCAAAAAACTAACCTTGATTTATTTCAGGACATTATGATGTGAGATTAAAAGAAATCCTATTATTTAAGCTCTCTATAGACACATATTCTATAACCTTCAACCAAAATCATTCTAACCAATAAAACTTATCATTTCACAAACTTACCCCAAAACTTCCTTGGAATGGTGGCAAGAAAACCCCATTGAAGGCACACTGGGAATAAGGGCAGTAACTGGTGTTGAAGAGCTCAAGAATCCTTTGCTGGCATTGTTCATAGTTTCCAGTACCATGGATTTGAAATGCATTAAAAGGCAGAATCTTCTTAAATCTCCTGATGCAAGGGGTCTCGTAAAGCGCTTTTACTGTCACTACTTCCTCATACCCAGGATGAAAGCATGGGTCCCTKAGGACTCCATCACTCAACATCTGAATGGAAAAAAAAAAAATCTTGTGAATGTTGGAGTACAAAAGCCACAATCCTACTTCATTAATTGTGTAGGCATAGTACAAAATGGCAGCACATAGAAATGGCATTATTATGCCCCTCCCTGACTTTTTCATGCTTGGAAATAGGTTTAAAAAACAGTTCCTACAACAGGCACCAAAAGTGGTACCAGATATTAATGTACTGAGCTATTTACAAGATGTTGATATAGTTAAAGCTGGACCCAGAAGTACGATTAGGTGGGAATGTCCCTGAGTTCCTAGAGCTAAATTGCATAAAACAGGAGCAAGGAAAATTCTCAAGACTCTCAAAAAYGGGAGGCTGAGGCTCCTCATCTCCCCAAGCAGAGAATCAGAAACTCCAAGAGGTGGAACATGTGTTAGGTCTTTTAAACCAATAGAATCCAGTGATTTTTAACCCTTAACCCCACAGAGAAGAAATGAGGTGGCTGTAGATAAGAAATTTAGTGGAATTCTGAGGATCAGTGGGCCATTCTCAGTGGCATCTGCTCCACGATGGTCTTCTTACTAATAGTGGTTTTGAGAATCAGAGAGGGGGAGACGAGAGAACTAGTTGTCCTTCCAGCAGAGACAGAGACCAGCTGGATATGACAACCTTGCTCTGTGTTTATTTGTCAGGATGTGCCTGATACTCTCATGATATGGAGTGTTGTCCGGAGCTGCCCTGGATGCAGACACCTTTAAGTTCTGATGCACCAGGTTCTACCAATTATTGCTTTTAGTCTGGCACAGTAGTGCCAGGCCGCAGTAACTTGGGCATTATCCCAGCTCAGATAACAAGGCATGGCTCCAGATGTGGGTGTCACCCTGATGGGTTGAGATACACTCACCTATTCCTTTGTAATCCTACCCCTTTGCCCTTTAGGGAATAAAATACTCCATTGGAACAGCCTCCCCCAATAAAACCCAGATTCAAGGCATGCTCTCCCTCTTTTTCTTGCCTGACTTGCCTCCTTTGTAGGAGCTGG